TTTGCAAAAGTTTCAGATCTGAACCAAATCTGCTGATCGCTAATTGAATAACAAGTATATATCACGATATTTCGCTTTCATATCATCTGTTACATCCATAACACGAGTGGAATAATTGATCCATCACACACGACTGTCATTGGTTAACACTTGTCTAATTGGTTAACTCTTTTCTATTCGGTTAACTCTTTTCTATTTGGTTCTTTCTTACCATCGACACAAAAATGGCTTTCCCATGTTTAGTGTTAAATGCTTGTTTACAAAACTTGAAGCATGAAGAAAATCAAAAACAGACTTATTGACTTTTTTCTAAATATTTGTTTTAATTTTTGAATGAACTATTCTTATACAGGTAATATAGAAAAGGCTCTTTCACGCTTATAATTAATATTTGCATTCGCTTTATAAAAAATCTTTAGGCGAATGGCTCTTAGAAATTCATTTTGAACAGTATATATTTGAAATGTGAAGCGCAAATTAAAATCATCATTACATCGACTTTTTAAAACAGTATTTTGAATGGTTTTGATCAACATCTGATTTATATCTTTTCTGAAGTGACTTTTAGCATCGATCGGTTCATTGAATCATGACGGTGCTCAAGTAATATCAATATCAAACGTCAATCTGTATAAATGCAGATCTGGAAATTTTCGTTTAGCGTTTTACCTCCAGGCTACTACTCTTGTCATCCCTGATCTCACAAAACATTTCTTTAAATCATGTTCAGTTGAAAGTTAAGTCACACTTCACAGAACAGAAACACATCTTGAAGAATATTAATTTCCACTCAAACCACCAGACATAAGTCGTTAAATTTAAAAAAAAATCCGATCAATATTCGATCCAATCAAGATGAATTTCTTGGCAATATTTTACTAGATTTCCTTAGTTTATATAGTCTTACTTGGACCAAAAACAGTCGACAATTGACTCTTAATGTTCTAACATTCAAATCAATACCCCGTCCTATCAAATAGAATTTCATTCCAGCATTTTCTGTCCAGTTATATAGTTGTAAGGTTGTTAAACAACTTGTATTCACATCACGACAGTTGCACTATATCTGAGTGTTCGATGTCTTATATTTCTACTTTTAGCTTTGTTGATTTAAATCGGCTGTATATATTGTTTTTATTTGATTTTTAAAATATAGGACATTTTTATGTTATTCTTAATCGTGTGTAGCTTAAATGAAGATAGTTTAGGAATTTAGTCAAGATTTTATATATTATGAATTTATAAAGGCTTTCGAGTAAAGTTTTATTTTCTTAATGTCCCCAAGAAAACTGGTTTGTACCCCCTAATTTTGTGCCCAAATTCCTTTGCTAATTATGTTCGAAATGTGATTTTTATACGTTCTTGTCTCTCAGACGTTCCATGGGGGACTAATGTCTATACGCTCTACGTAGCTGTTGCATTCTTAATCTTAATCTAAAGATATTCCCCCATTAGATCAGTCTGTCCCCTACTAATGTCTATACGCTCTACAGAACTGTTGCATTCTTAATCTTAATCTAAAGATATTCCCCCATTAGATCAGTCTGTCCCCTACTAATGTCTATACGCTCTACATAGCTGTTGCATTCTTAATCTTAATCTAAAGATATATTCCCCCATTAGATCAGTCTGTCCCCTACTAATGTCTATACGCTCTACAGAACTGTTGCATTCTTAATCTTAATCTAAAGATATATTCCCCCATTAGATCAGTCTGTCCCCTACTAATGTCTATACGCTCTACATAGCTGTTGCATTCTTAATCTTAATCTAAAGATATTCCCCCATTAGATCAGTCTGTCCCCTTCTAATGTCTATACGCTCTACAGAACTGTTGCATTCTTAATCTTAATCTAAAGATATTCCCCCATTAGATCAGTCTCGAAAGGATCGCACCAGTGTTTTTAATGACCTTTTATTTGAGTAGATGTCTATGCTGTCTAATGAAGTATTGTTCCATAACGCTTTAGTATAATGTTTTATGAATCGTTGCTTTTTTCACGATGTCCCAAGAGAAAAATATATTTTCTATAATTGACTGATCGAGAAGAACGAAATATTAGAATCAAAACGTATTTTACATAGACAATAGCTTTATTTAGCTTCTCGTTAAAAACAAATTGCAATAAAACCATAATGAATTGTCACGAGTTGGATCAATAATAGCCAATTCAAATTTTGCTGTATCTGTACCTGGTTTTTTCAATCTTTTCTTTCTATTAATATTTTCCGGATCCTTGTTGGTTGACCACACCCTGTTCATGTCGACGAATAAAGTCTGAATAATTTCATTTCTAAGTGAAAAAAAAATTCAACCCCAGTTTGAAAACCCTTCTTTTAGACCATTATCAAACAAAAAATATTGTTAACTCTCCAAAATAAATAGAGCAGTAAAAAGATGGTATCAGGTGTTTCCAAAGAGTGAGCCCTAACCCGCTTATACTTCAACCCGTTTATTATAGCGCAGAGCTCAAATTGAATAATGATTTTTCAACCAAAATACACCACAGTAATAGCATACTCATACAAGTACTTTAAAATCCTTCTAAAAGTACAAGCTTATATTAATGGTAAATGTTCGTGTTTAAAATCTCAACAATATTTCATCAATATTAAATTTAATTCCCAAATTATTTCCTGTTATTAACAACATTATATAAGTCTCGTTGACATTCTCAACACAGGGTATTGCCATTGTCCCAAGTACATCCTTTTGTGAGATTTTGGGGGACTTTCGCACATTTTGAACTTTTTTCTTGGTATCAGACTGAAGTTAAGTATTCCAGCAATTTTCAGTAATTCATTGTCCCCTGAATAGTAAACTGGAAGTGAATGCAATATAAGAGTCTTTCTGTTGCCTTACTGTTAAAATCCAAAATAAACCAAAGATTAAGCTTATGCAAGTTTAATCCCATGAGCGATACAAAGGCCTAATCATGCATAGTTTTAACTTTTAGAATACATTGAAGTAATTTGCATTTTGAAGGAATAGCGTTCATATTCATAGTCATATTAAGATAAAGGTTCACACCTAACATGAAGCAATCTGTGAGCTTATTTGACACAATGATATTTTCCTCAATCACTTCCTTTTCAATTAGAACTAGAGTCAAGTACCACCAAAGGGATAATTTAGCTTCGTTCTATTAGACTCAATAGACATAGATTACAAAATCAATAATCTCCATTGTACAATTAAATCTTGTTTTAAAAAATAACGAATTGAAAGTTTTACTTCCTAGCTCAATACTTCTCACAGAGCTGATTTAAACGGGCATAGCTATGCGGTGTGGAATGAGGAAAATTTGATCAACATGAGATATGAGTTTAATCTTTTTCTCTTTACCAACTGAACTATCGAAAGGGTTTATTTGTGGACATTAATCACATCTAAAGGAATGCTTTGAACCAAATCTGTGAGTTCACGTCTTTTTGATTTATTAAAAGTAAACTGCCTGCAGGAAATAGAATTTAAAATCTCAAACTTGGTCAACAAGTGTATATACTCTTGAAATACAGCTTTGGTATCCAACGTTACATAATCAATTAATGTAGGACCTCCAGTTAAGTTAAGTCTTTTCGCTTTTTGTGCTGAAAAGGTGATGGGTGTGAGCTTAGTTCCATTACCCAGATCACTACCTATCACTATCGTTTATGTGATTTTGGTTAAAAATTTGGCTATGTTTTAATATGTGGTAGAATACTTTTAACCGGTATATAAGCTGGTGTCCCTACAGTTCTACAAAATATTGACGTGTCAAAACAGGCTCTAACATCTACTCTATTAAATTTTCATGTATTCTAAGAATTTTTTCGACTCAATTGATTCAGCTACCTGGTCAGTGGCGGCACCAGAGGGGGTACAGGGAGGGGGGAGGGGGGGGGGGGGGGGGTTTGGGGTATTTTTTCTATTGTACCCCCACTTTTTTTCAAAAAATCTAAATGTCTAATTTTTTTCTCTTTATATGTGTCAGAATACACTTTTCTTGAGAGAAACCTCTAAGACGCTCTATGCGAGGCTTGCGACTATAACACCACCACAAAGTAGCCAGAGTCCGTTTGCCCCCTATTTGTACCCCCAGTCTCGGAAGGCTGGCGCCGCCACTGTACCTGTTGAAATCTTGGTAAATAAAAAATTAATGTAAAGTTAAATTCTAAGTAAATAGAATTATTGAAAGTTGAAATCTAAGTAAATAAAATTATATTGTGAGTCAATACATTTATTATGCTTTTTTTTGACATAAAATCAATTCCAATATAATTTATTTAGAACTTATTGGCTTTTGATTAACTGTCGTCTACGGGGCCTTTGTATCTAATCATGTCAAATGTAGTCTAAATGTATAAAAATGGATGTAGCCTTTTATTTTTTTTATATATATATCACGTCATGATGTCATCGAATTTAATAAGGGATACGGATAGCTGACATTTCACTCCAACTTCTTTAATTATTATTTTCTGTTTAGCACCCGTCCCATGTTTTCTGAACAACTGTTAGACTGTTTAAGTCTGTATTAGATCATTTTCGAAATACAACAAGCGAATTCAGTGGCCATGAGACCTAAGGCCTATTAATCGATATACTGGGCTAGGCATGAACCATTTTGTTCCAAGAAAACCTATTGGAATTGATGTGGAATTGTCAATTTACAACAATTCTTTTCTGGATTTCCCAAATTGAACTGTACTCATTGTAGTCTGGAGCCTGATTAAATGGAGTTGTTTCCCCTTAATAAGCATTGGACCTAAATTGTAGTTCTCAAAGTGTATGCTCAATGTAGTCTGAAGCCTCATTAAATAGAGTTGTTTCCCCTCAATAGGTATTGGACCTAAATTGTACTGTTCTCAAATTGTATGCTTAATGTAGTCTGAAGTCTGATTAAATCGAGTTGTTTCCCCTTAATAGGTGTTGAAGATTATGCTATCAGTAAGTTTCATCATCAGTATCAAATCTTCACAGAAAGCCAGCATGAAAGTAACAGAATGACAGTGGAATTATTCTAATGAGATTTAAGTGTTATATCCAGGTAAATTATGTAAGTACTGACATTATCTTGCTTTATTCTTTGTGCGTTTCATGTTTGGGTGTGTCTAAACACCCTATTTCACCCAGAGTTGTTCAGTATATTTTTTTTACAAATCTAGCCCTACACGTTCCTGGACGTGTTACGAGACTGTGATATTGTCAGAGTCAGGGCCAGGACTCGTATAAACTTCAATACACATAAAATTCAAGATTTATCTTTCTGAAAAAAAAATTTTTTTCATTGCAGATGAATGGCTGACATAGATCTAATTTGTAACTGATCTTGAAACCTGCCAAGAAGTTTAAACATGGACTTTGTACTTGGTGGAATAGCAACATGTGGTGCAGGACTCTTTACAAACCCATTGGAAGTTGTCAAGACTCGGATGCAACTTCAGGGTGAATTAAAATCGAAAGGGCAGTATTCTGTTCACTATCGTAATGCCTTGCATGCGTTTTATACAGTAGCCAAAACTGACGGATGGCTAGCCTTACAGAGTGGACTTATACCAGCTTTATGGTACCAATTCTTTATGAACGGCGTTCGACTTGGAACGTATCAAGTACTAATCAATTTGAACTTAACGAAAGATTCGAACGGAAAACATAGTGCCCCTAGAAGTGTGTTGGCTGGAGCTTTTGCAGGATGTGTTGGCGCTATCTGTGGAAGTCCTTTTTTCATGGTTAGAATGATTTACAAAGCTTATATTCGAAGATCAAGTGAATTGCTTTTCAATAAAATTGCAGATGAAATTGTTTCGAAAAATAGAATTGATCTACTACTTGTACCAGGCCTGTAGCTAGAGGGGGACCAACCGGGGCCAGGCACTCTATAGAAACTTTTGGCCCCCACCACCCACCTAAAATATTTAGATGTCTTAAATGACTTGTTGAGTCGCTATGATTGAGCCCCCTTCAAAAAATTTAGCCCCCCTTGAGACCCTGGGCTAGCTACAGGCCTGACCTGTCCCCTGGTGTACTTTTTCTGTGTTTGACCTTCAGAAATCAATTTCATAACCAAGCTGTAAGTAAGGCAGACCTACAGATAATCCAGGAAAGATCAATGCCCAGAGGTTTGGCAAGGACCAGTGGGAAGAAAGGATATGAACTCCATAGTTGTAAATAAATAAAGTTGTTTCTCTCTTTTGTATATTTTTATGTAATTTTTTTTTCCAGGTTAAAACTCAGTTGCAATCTCAAGCTGCTGCCAGTATAGCAGTTGGTCATCAGCATTTTCACAAGGGTATGTCTCATGGTCTAGTCAAAGCATTTAGGGAGTATGGTATTACTGGATTATGGAGAGGTGTTAGTGCAGCTGTACCTAGAGTTACTGTGGGATCTGCAGCACAGTTATCTACCTTTTCTTCCACTAAACAATATCTCGTTGATTCAAAGGTATGTTTGATTTACCAATGGTATCGTACCCAACTATTTCAATTTAAACTGAAAAATTGTATTAGCAATAGTAGTTTTAAAGTGATACTACGTCTTAGAATGAACATAAAATTTGTTCTCGAAATGGTCAATATGAGTATATATTCATCAGTGAACTTAACTGGTGTCATAAAGTTACAACAGAATCTCTGTAAAATCTGAAAAATTGGAAAATTCATGAAACTAAGTAATTATTGAAAATCTACTGTAAGCTTACAGCGTTATCTTTTTGGAACTTTTCTTACTTTCCAGATCTGTGCCAATGATAGTTTACTGGCATCGTTTCTAGCCAGTATGTTAAGTGGATTGGTGGTCACGTGTTTCATGACACCATTCGATGTGGTGTCAACTAGACTTTATAACCAGGGTTTAGATGCTTCAGGAAAAGGACTATTGTATGACAATGTAGGGGATTGCTTTCGGAAAATTTGGAGTAAAGAAGGCTTTTGGGGATTCTACAAAGGTTGGGGTGCATCATATTTTAGATTGGGACCACATACGGTACTTAGTTTAGTATTTTGGGACTCAGCTAAGAAGTATTATTACAGTTATGATGGTAATAGGAATGCGGTACCATCTTAGAGATGTTGTGAGATATTTATAGGTACAGGTATTGGTATATATTGTAAACTATAATATAGTATATCTTTAATTTCTTATTATTATAAATTATATTTTGATATCAACTACTATCAACTCAAATCAAAATTTACAATTGTCTTATCAGGAATTGAAAATGATATTTTTTTTTTGATATTTTCTTACTTTCATTGTTAAAGGAACAGGTGTACCATTTTGAGTGTTGATTTGAGTATTGAATATATGTAAATAGTCTTCAGAAGTACTGCAATGTATAAAATCCAAAATCCCACAATTCCTTCAAAGTATCTCTAGGAATTTTCTTTTCTATATGGCAGTGTCTCAAGAAAAAACAACTCATTTTTTAACTTTCAAACACAGATAATTCCAGACACACATGGATTTGAAGACTCAAATTTGGACAGTGAGATGCGAACACTATTACTGATTTGCTTAGCTAAAAAAATTCCCGTTTCTGAGACTAAGGTACTATTGGTAAAAAAATGGTGCATCTGTCCCTTTAAAAGACAAGACAATGAATATATATCTATACTCTATAGATAACTTTATTTTATTTCCCCATAACTGTCATCAGTGCACACTATTGTGGTCAGGATAGTATTTATCAAATGCATTTATGAAAGAGTGTGGATTATTATGATAAAGATCTCATTTATCAAAAAATTAAAGTGCCCATTGTTGTGATAAAGGCAATATTTTGGAGAGAAAAACTATAATACCAATTAGAGTGTTGTCTATTGTGTCAAAGATCTGATGTCTCTGTGGCAAAAATCGTAATTAGAGAAAAAGTAGTGGGAGTGTCCAATTTATTTTTTTGATTTTAAGGGTAAAATATCATGGCCTTATTATATAATATTTATGTTGGTTTTTCTTTAGATATAGATTATACAGATTATTTTATGCAAAATTATTATGATATATGTCTCAGGTCCAATTTATTTTTAAATATGTATATATCGTAGTTATTATTATGTTTCAAATAAGTTTAACATATTTCACATTTTCTATTATGGTATTCCAATTAGTATCAGGTGGCAATTGAAAAATTAGAAATATTAATATTGTATCTGCTAAATATATAGTTTTATTGTATTTAGGCTTGGAAATTGGAAACCTGAAACATGTTGTTTTTCAGAGTTTCATGCTATGCAATCTTATGATATAAATTTCTATATCGCTCTATACAGTGAGCACTAATTTAACATTGAACATATTGTAAGTGTAAATTTAGATTAAATTTAAAGATGGATTTCCTTATTTTTTGGTGTCAAATTAAGCAAACTATTTGATTAATTGATGTTTCTATTGAACTATCATGTATTCTTAATCATATCATTATGTTCTTATTGCAAATAATTAAAAATTTTAACCAATCATAAATGTCCATGTAAGAACAGTCTGGCTAAACTAAAAAAAGACTTTTTGACCTTTCTTGATCGGTCACAGATTGGAATTCTGCTGGTAATTCTCTTCTAATTTAGCTAATTATGAATTAATTATGGACATGTGAGACAAACTGGTATTTTTCCAAGTCATAAGAACACCTCTACATTCTATTCATATAAGTAGAGCATTTTCTTTTTCATAAATGAAAATAAGGGAACCTATCTTTATTAGAAGTTAAGATTGTTTATTTTGTATAACATTATATTTATAATTGAGTTTTTTTTTTTTTAGAGTTAGAGGCTTGCTTAGTAACCCGAAGGTCCAGGGTTCAATCCCGGCATAGGTTGTGATAATACCTTTGGATTTTTCAACCCGGTTTCCCCCTGTCAGTAATGCAAGTACGAGGGGCTGACATGGAAGCGTCTAGTTATTCGGATGAGACAATAAACCGAAGCCCCGTGGGTGCTACAGGCTATGCACGTTAAATATCCCTTAACAGTAGCCTACATGGTGCAGAAAACTCCATTCATTTCATTTTTTAAAGGGATATAGTCAACGAAATAAAGAAAAGATGAAATTATTATAATCGCAGCTATGGTGGACTTTTCTCACTTTGTCTTACCTCCTGATTTTGTATGTAAATGATTTATAGTAATTGTTTATGATTGTTTGATTTGTGTGTGAGGAATAAAATTTATTTTTTATCATTTGACTTGTTTCTGAATATAATAAATCTATATCGCACTGTGGTCTGGACTTGTACTGCCTTGGTGATTGAGTGATTGTTTTCATGGATCATCTTTTGTTTTTGTCGTGGAGGCTATGTTTTGCTCAAAATATGTTTTATGTTTCCAATAAAGGTGAGGTAAGTGGAGCCTAGCCTATGTTGATGAGATCTTTGATGAATGCGATTTTCACATAGGCCTATTTGCAGATGAATGTTTTTTGTGTTATTGCCCTTGACTTAGCCAAATTAGTACAAATTGATTTGTGAATGTGATAAAGACTGCAGCTTTGATCTGCTTTTTAGAGAACTTGGTGAGATTAGCCTGTTAATGGTTTTTGAGTTTGGCCTACTCATTCTTATCTGCATATTTTTGACAAATTAAAAAAAAAAAAACATTTCAAATGTGACAGACAGTCTTTTCAGTGGTGGAAACCACTTGGGGAAACCACTGGAGAAGAACTTGTAAAGGAGGGGATACCACTACATGTCCTTGAGTGGGTGTATGTTACTTTGTCTGGCAAGCTATTTTATCCAGAAAATAAAATAACATGTTATTGTTATAAATTAATCAGATGAATGTTATTGAAAAAAAATATAAAGCTGCACAAAATAATGAATTATTATTAAAATAGAATAAAAATAAATAAAGTAGATTTTGGTGCGGGATGAATATTATTTATGTGCGGTACATGTTTTAACATGATTTGTTTACTTCCGTTTCATAGTAAATTCCATCAATATTCTATGAAGTAGGACTGTCAAGTTACGATTTAACATGAATAGAGTAAGTGGATATTTTTTCTTTTGCAAATTTTAAGAATATTCGAAGACATGAGTTGTATTGTCTTTTCGCCAGGTTGTTTTCTGTACGATCACAATGTGAATGCTTACACAAATCATATTTTTGCAAGCTTAGCTGATCTTCGACCATTCACATTCGGGTTGATGAAAATGACAACTGCTGCGACCTGCAGTGACATGACTGAAACATAGCGACGTGGCCTTAATGCCACTTGGCCCTGTACTGGATTGAGTTTCTGAGACTATCTTCCTGTACCCTGAGACCTGAGAGTTAGGCCTAGGCTAGATTTACTTTAGATGGTTAGGATCTGCATGCCATTAATTAGGATTCCCTGTTAATGTCATTATATCAAACTAAAGTTGATTAAATCAAAACAAATGTCTTTCTATGTAGGAATGATTGGATGAAGAAACTGTAAACATGTCAGGAAACCTAGCAGTAGTAGCTTTTGATGGAGAATTGAATTCAATTGTCAAAGAGGTAATATGACATTTTTAATTTTTCAATATTCTTATGAGACGATATAAGCAAATCAAATAGACCATTAAATCCCTATTAGAGCATCTATTTTCTATTTTCAGTATCTGACATGTAATTCCTTAGAGAAAACTGTAACATGTTTTGTAGAAGAATGCAATGAAAAGGGGTCACCTATTGCCCCAGTAGACACTAAATCATTCACCAATGCAAGTCTTCTTGAAACACAGGTAAATATGCAATAGGATATTGATACAGTCTGATCTAGATATTTCCTTTCATGTAAAGAAATACCCTACACTACACTTAGTTATCCTGAACTTTGGAAGTTCCTGAAAGGAACAGTGGCACCATTTTTTTGACCTATCATATCTCAGAAACAGGAAATTTTTGGGGTAGGCCAATCGGTAATAGTGTTCGCAGATCAGTGTCGAAATTTGAATCTTTAAATTCATGTGTGTCCAGAATTTTTTTCTCGTTTAAAAGTTAAAAAGATGAGTTGTCTTTTCTTGACATCTATAGATAAAAATAGGAAAAGAATTTCAGTTTTTGACCAATTTTGATCACAAGCCCTTTTTGCCAAGTGCACTTCACCTTGGTAGCCTCTCTGACTGTATTCACTGTATATTTTTAGCAACAACTGATGAAGTATTTTGAAGAAGGAAATGGAGATGATTATTTTGAGTTATGGAATGAAGAATTACCTCCAAGAATCAAAAATGATGACCAAGTTGCTCAGAAACTGGAGTTTTATGCCAATATCTATTTTGCTATATACCCAATTAAGATGGGTGATAGTCAGGTAGGTAGATATACAAATTCACAAAACTCAGTTCTTTAAACTGCCAGTCATTGCCAAATGTTTATGTGAGTTTTACGTTAAATATAGATTTTCAAACAGGTTTCCCCTGTTGTCAGTGATGTAGGTCTGAGGGGCATGTGATTAGATTTGCCCCTTAATTTTGTCCCAAATTTCTAAAATTTTTCATGAGATATCAGTGTGTTTCTTTAATATTTCAATTAGCAACAATTCAACAAAGTAAAATTTTCAAATTGTGATATGTCGAATAACAGAGCAAAAATTCTGCTATAAAAATTTATTAAGTATGTCTATATGTCTATATTTCCTATATTGTGAGGTATTTTTTTATCCTTTGTCACTGTTTTCTATCTTCTAATTACAGTCAAAAGTAGATAACAGGATGACTGCTTTCAAGAAATATTTAGAAAATCGTGGAGCTACTTTGAGTCAAACTACAGAATTCCTGCCATTTTATGCCTTGCCATTCGTACCAAACCCTAAAGCTCATCCTTCCTATAAAGAGTTATTTGAGGTAAATAAAGCTTCCACCAGTTAGAAACTAAAAAATAGTTGCCGAGCTAATCTTTTCTCATCCATCAATCACATGTGGTCAACAAAGATTTGATGGAACAGAGCAATTATTGGTCAAATATTTGAGTGACCAGGTATTTGTTATGTCTTAAGATCATGGATATCAAGTGAAGTTGCCCAGAGTAAAAACATGAAACAAAACATAATTAAATTGTAGGTTAAGTAGTTGGAATCAAAATTTGAATTTCTTTCAGGAAAACTGGTCAAGAGAACTAAGAAGTAGACTCAACACATTTTTAACATTATCTTTAAAGTCGACCAAACAACCTAGATTATTTGATCTCTATGTATCCTTTGAAATATCTAGCCATGGAGGTTCAGCTCAGTGAGTTAGACACTTGATTGCTGAAGGTCCAGGGCTTGACATAATATTTTCAATTCGGTTTATAGTGCAAGTGTTTCACATCAAACGTGTCCTATGTTTATGTGATCTAAAATCTAAAATCCTACTGTTACAGTGTATAGTGTCTTACTTACTGATTTTGAGTTATTAATCTAAAGTTAAACACATAAAAAAATGAATGAATAAATGAATAAATGAATGAATAAATGAATGAATGAATAAATGAATGCAGTTATGCAGGTTGGATACACAGAAAAAGCGTCTAGTTGTTTGGACGAGACTATAAACTGAAGCCCTCGTTTGTCAAAGTCTGGGCGCGTTGAAGACCCTTAGACAGCTGGAATTGAAAAAAGAGTAGAACAATGCTATCCTGCCAAATTTCCCTCATTGCACACTGCTTTGTGTTGCTCATCTTCATTAGCAAAAAAAGGTGCTCTTAGGGCAGAATTGTAGCTGTAAACGAATCTATATTAACATCGAAAAAGACGAAAATTCCCTTAACTTATAACAAAGAGAACGGGAGGAAATCCTGAAGCTAGAGGTATTTTTGTAATTCTCTTTCCTTTACTTATGTCTGTACCTTGATAAACTATTGTTCTATTGTAAACATTGGTATACCTGATTAATAAGCTGAATCAATAAGCACTTGCTTCAGCAATTAAGACTACCCTCACTCTTATGTGGGTATATAAACCTTCTCCGAAGAATTTAACAATCTTTGTTATTTTCAAATTTACTCCCTTCTTATATGAAAAAAAGGCTGATGTTTCTTTTGTTTTATTCAGATAATGAAGCTCATATCAAAGCGTTGAAACAGAAAGTAGCCGATGGGGACCGAAAGACAGCAACATATATGAAACGACATAGTAAAGTTCAGGTAATAAGTTGAGATAATAAAGATTTCACTGAAATTAGCTATATCAAGGGTACTTTTAGCTCTGAAGAGATGTGCCTTTAGAATTCTCAAATGGAAGGAAAAAGTTAAAAAAAAAGAGTGTGATGATTGGATGAATTAATATGAATTAAAGACAGGTAGAATTACTTTCCTTTAGGACACCCTAGATCTGGTGTGTGCAGTCTGACTGATTTCATCCTAGTTGAACTCCTCAATCGAACAAGAACAGTAGGGAAGTATTATTGTGTATTGAATATAAATACATCATATCCTTTTGTATTCTCCTAAACCAGGTAGGAATGATCTCATTATTATGAGATTTTAAGGGGTAAGAAAGACTGGTTATAAAGATATCCATAGACTACATTACCTTATATTCTGTCACTGGTTAATCTTGATTTTATTGATTTATGTTATGTTTTTATATTCTTTTGTTTTTACAGGCAGATTATCATAATCTGATTGGTATTACAGCAGACCTTGTGGATGCTCTGGAGTCAACAGTTCAAGGAAGACCGGTATGTAAATATGTTTTGAAATTGCACATGATTGTTAAAGTATTAAAACTAACATGTTTATTTCTAACATATCTAAACTCTTGCAACAAAAGATCTATTAACAGTACTTCAAAATACTGCATTTATTCATTCATTCATTCATTTATTTATTCATTCATTCATTTATTCATTCATTTATTCATTCATTCATTCATTCATTTTTTTATGTGTTTAACTTTAGATTAATAACTCAAAATCAGTAAGTAACACACTATACTGTAACAGTAGGATTTTAGATTTTAGATCACATAAACATAGGACACGTTTGATGTGAAACACTTGCACTATAACTATGAACACTTACACTGTGAACACTTAGAGTGTCACCACTTAAACTATGAACACCTAACCTCGGAACACTTAAACTATGAACATTAAATTTGACTTATATTCTTTTATTTGAGATTTTGGGATGTCAGCATAGAGTATCATTATTATTTTGAAGTAAATTTTGAGTAAATTTCCTGAAGGTGTCTGTAAAGTGACTCAAAGTAATTTATAAGCCTTTGTATATCACAGAAACTTCCATTTGCACAATTCCACTTTCCTGACTTATGTCTGTGGTTCCTGTAAATTCCAAGAAATGAAATTTCTAGACGCCACTACATTTGAGCAGTATTTTTGATAGTACCAATCTCATTACTTAAAACATTGAACTGTGATAGGAATTTTTCAAATTATATCCTGTGAATTGACATGCACTGTTTCTTTCATGTCAGTCAAAAATTGTTAAAAAAAATCATTGAGCGTAAAAAACAGCAGTATTATGAGGGATATTTCATGATTTAACAGAATTTTAACTGACATTGTTTCAGATTACGCCAGAATATTTATCTCAACTGTGTTCAAGGTTATTTGCTAATCATATGAGAACCTCCTTAGATTTAACAAGACCTGGAACTGCAGGAGAAGCCTTGAGAAAATCTGTTGCCCCTACAAGGTAAAGCCCTATGTATATCATACTATAAAGCTTTCACGGCTAAGATGTTTTCTTGCTTGTATCCATCATCTCCACCATTTTGATGTCTATCATATTTTATCTGGACCTTTCAGAAAGTTTGAAATCTATGCTGTGTTCGTAAACACTTTGAGGGGAACTGTCTGCAATCTTAAATGGACTGATTTTGGTGCGTGAACATGAACGGTCTTGGTCAGCGATTTTTTAGTTTCACTGACCAACTGCCAGCACACAATTAGACAAAAAATCTCCAGTGAATCGTTTTCCACTATGTTGATAATCACTTGTGGATCTGTTTGGATGAAGACGCTCCGTCTTGCAGATGATAAAAACAAATGGTGACAAATATCAAACTGGACTGATATCATAACCTTGTTGCCAAAGCAACAATAATCAGCAACCAAGACTGTTCTTGTGTCTGCACCATTAAACATCATAATTCATGCTGTATTTTATATTTTAAAGTTGAACCTTACATCTTTACTATCTATTGTAGAATGTCTAAACCTGAAGTAGAACAGTTTCCCAGTCTAGATTATCGTAAAGTCAGAAATGATCTGATGACAGGCAGTGAAAGAACACAAGCTTTACTTTTACAGGCTTTGAGATGGGTAGGTGAAATAATTAGTTGATTTGAAGATCGTTGTGATAAACTCTAAATTTAGTAAATTATAGGCAAAATTGTTCAGAAAAAGGGTTATTTTGACTCACAAATTGATCAGTTCCAAAATAGGTTTGATTTGAAATTTCATCCTCAAAAAAGTACTGTTAGTCTTAGAATGTCTTTGCATTGATAAAAATATAGTTTTTTGTAAGTTTACATTAAAACAAAACACATTTCTCTCCTAGAAATTTCAACCAAAAAAAGTCACATATTGTGGCTGAAAATTGTCCTCTGTAAAAATAAATTTGGAAGACATTATGTGTTCATGTTTATTTTTTCATCAACGCAGAGACCTTCATAAATATGATGAAAAATTCAAGACAATAAATACTATTTCTCCTAATGTTTTTTTTAGCGTCTGACAAAATCCAGTATAGAGAAACGTGATGCTACTATGTCTCAATATTTACATAATGATATACTAGGATGTGCTAATGCTGGGCCTTACAGGGTAAGTTATTTCTTCTTTCACTTTGCCATAGAAATGTGCAGGCCTTGCTTTAAAACACTTGTTTTATACTAATTGGCTAGAGCTAGGACTGCACTGATTCAGTCTCATATATCTTTAATCCTGAGAAAATACTAAGAAAATCTTTGTAAAAAATTTATTTCTGAATTGAAAGATGTAGAATTTTCTTTCACAATTATGTTATTGCCAGTGGTTTGTATCTTATTATAATAACACAATTTATTGATAGGATTCCATGAAGAAATTATTAACCTCACCTAATGAAGATGTAAAACAGGGGGCAGCAAGATTATATAATGCATTTGCTTCTTTATGTGTCGGTAAGTATTCAAGAATTGGCTAACACCTCTGTCTCTTTTCCCTCATTGCATACTGTCCCCCACCCCTTCTCGCAGCCCTGAATGCAAGTTTTTCAGGCATGGCTCTCATAACTAGGTTAGAAATTCGGGCAACCTCAGATATTTCGCCCCCTGGCTCTGCCTCTGAATATAGCTTACTATTTATCCTACCTAGACTGTATAAGAGTATCTTTTTGTAAATGGAAATAAAAATAGATGTCATATGAAGAGGATTATGCACCAAAATCAAAAACATAATCCATTAATAGTATTTATTTTAATCTACAGGTCGTACATATCTTGCTTTAAATCCTGATTTAACACCAGCGTTATTAGCTAATTTACAAAGTGAAGATAAAGATTCTATAACTAGAGAAATGGTTCTAGGGGCATTACAGAAACTCAGTTTAAGGTAAAGAATAGAAATATGATATTCCTTATTAGATATAAATATTGACATTCCCTGCCCATTAGATATAAATATTGACATTCCCTGTAAAATGATAATATTGATGTTCCCTACCCATTAGATATAAATATTGACAGTCCCTGTAAAATGATAATATTAACGTTCCCTACCCATTAGATATAGATATTGACAGACCCTGTAAAATAATAATATTGACGTTCCCTACCCAATAGATATAAATATTGACATTCCTTGTAAAATAATAATATTAACGTTCCCTACCCATTAGATATAAATATTGACAGTCCCTGTAAAATAATAATATTAACGTTCCCTACCCATTAGATATAAATATTGACAGTCCCTGTAAAATAATGATATTAACGTTCCCTACCCATTAGATATAGATATTGACAGACCCTGTAAAATAATAATATTGACATTCCCTACCCATTAGATATAGATATTGACAGTCCCTGTAAAATAATAATATTGACAGTCCCTTTAAAATAATAATATTGACGTTCCCTACCCATTAGATATAGATAT